CCTCCACGTGGTGCTCCCTGGGCAACATATACTCATACGGCAAAAATGTCTATAAACCGGCAGTTGACTTCTGACTCCAAACTAGCCTCACCCCACCGTATGTCATATTCGACCCCTTTCACAGTACTCATCTTACCTTTTTCTCTACCTTTGTGTCTGTTTACCTCTTTTACATCTGTGAATCGCTCTTCTTTTCCTCTGTCGAATTTTTCTCACTTTGATGTTCCTCCTCCCTTCTGTGAAGCCGAAGTCAACTAAAGGGCTAATGATAACTATCAAAATGCCTGCCATTTGAAATAAATAAATAAATGTCACCGTAATGAAAAGCGTGACGGTCTTGCATTAACCAGAGGATTGATAACACTTTATTTATTTCCAGTAGATGGCGAATTTGTGTGCTCATCGTTCCACCACAGTGACTGCTTTATTGTGGTCTCTTTAAGAGACCATATATTTCGGTGTCATCCAACCCTTAGGCCACTCACCACCTTGCTAGCAATGGCTCAAATAAGGAAGATCATAATTATCTCAATTTCACTGTGACATCCTATCTTGAGAGGAGTTAGATCTAGGTTATTTTAGCATCACTACTGGGCCAAACTGTTAAATTTTGTATATTTATCGATCATTATATAGGTTTTGATAAATGAAATCTTTTCCAGGGGTGATATTTGTCACGCGTGTCCTCTTGGAAAGTGTAGAATAAAATTGATTGGGTAGACACACTTGATACTCTTATGGACAGGGTGGTTAATGAAGGGCGGTGTCTTAAAGGATAAGTGTCATTATATCCAAATTCTGAGGATACCACAGAATACCACAATGAGCATTCAAATGGATAAAACTGAGATTAATTTTATAAAGTTATTACCAACCTTCATCAATTATCCCAGTGACGAGAGCACTGTAAACTGCATTACATTGAAGGCGTCAATATTATAGATTTCTTGGTTTTATTTACTAATTCAACTATCGTACCAGAAGCTATTTATAAAACTGTTTGAGTAGACGTCTTGGGTTCGGGAGTTGCATTATTGCTCCTCTTTCTGACGAGAAGATTGATTTACGCCTCGCCATTATTGGCAGGACTTAACGAGTGCGGTTGGAAATGTCAATCAGAGAGTATGCGCCAATGGATACCGAAGGAATGAGCTCTGAATCTGTCTCTAACAAGCCTATTCTTTCACTTTTTATTTCAGTTACTAGTTTTAAACTGAGTGCTACTTAAACAGTCTACAGTTCGTCGATTAATCTGGCGTCTCAAAGAAAGCCATTTATCGACTGTCTATTTTAATTCCACTAGAAGCTTAAATTAGATGCCTCTAAGTAAAACGCTTCCTATTGTTACTTCATATAATAACAAAATATGTAGGTTGAATAGTAAGAGGAATAAATAGGGGGAAGATGAACTAACCTGAAGTTCATTAGCGGATAGCTTCAGTCGCGTAGCCTGACACCTGGGGAATTTTGGATGAAGTGCCTCTTTTCGCCTATAATGAGACAAAATCAATGAAGAATAAATCACTGTCATGATGTCATACGTAACCCCTCTTAAAAAAATTGATGGGAGAGCACAGTATCGGTGGAATTTGTAGGTGTCATTAATAACTCCTCCATTGCCGTCATCCATAAAAAAAAATTATTAAACTTTATGTGAGAGGCAAGAAGGAGAGTCATTAAATAAATGGAAATCTTGACGTCGACCTAAATGGACTAAGAAATAAATCTTCAAATTCCATGTTAAGAGGGAAGGCATTTCAGATGCCGCATATTGATATTTATCGATTTAATCGCGCAATTGGGAGAAAAGGTCTTCAATACGAATAAGGCAATTCAATGCATTGGCAAGGCAAAACGGTACTACTTGATATTGATATTAAGTGCGATTCTTGAAACAGGACTAAAAGCTTCTATTTAAACTTTCATCTCCTCTCTGTAAATTCCTGACTCAAATTGCCATTCATAAGACTATATTTAGAGATTGAGGAAAAATGCTCACTGGGATAGAAGAGGTTGTTTTAATTATATTGCTGAGATTTCACTTAAAATTAAGTAGTACCTCCTGAGACCGTAAAAGCTTAAATGGCAGCCACGTATTCTGCTGTTCCAAAACGGAGATCTGATACTGAGCTTTGCTAGATGAGTCGGATAATTACGTCTAAACATTAGTAGGTAAAAAGTGTTCCTGTGAATATTTGGCCCAAAATTTGATGTTAATTAACATGAAATCGGTGATATAGTTGATAACGCGGGAGAGGATGAAAAGAAAACTAAAACTGAGCATGAATCATTGAAATGGGTACTACAACTTCTACATTTTTAATATCATGATTCTTTTCGTGTATTATAGCGAATGCTTATCTTATAGGTTCAGCACTTGCAAACCGTTTGGCGGTATAGAGGAGTCAGTCTTGTAACTTCAGGAGTTTAGAGACAATTGAACTAACATGATGTTCTATAGCTTTCGGCTTTAACGCAACAGTAATGAGAAAGCCAAACACTTCAAGTTGAAAAGACTCCACAAGATGTGCTCACTCAAGGTCGCCAAAGCCATAAACGTTCTAACATTTCTACAATTTTGTAACAAAAAGAAATAGTAAAAAATGGAGGTAAATGAAATAGTCTTTCCCATGTAGAACGCTAAGGGGTTTTATGCAATGCTAAGTGATCTCATTCTTGCATCCCTCTTGGCAGTTATTGTCTCCTTAATGGAGTAGTGAGTCAACTTTATCATCCCAATATCAAATTTCACTTGCAGATGCGTTTTTTGACACGGTTGGGATGATGAAGATCTACCTGCTGACTCAAGCACTGCGTGGGCGGGCAGAGCCGCTTGCCAAAATTAAGTGACAAAAGAAACCTAGTTAATTTAAATCATTTTAATGGGGAATTACCCTTACATTCGAAAGTCTGCAATCACTGCACACAATAGCCTCTCGCACGATAGTTATAGCCAAACGATGTACAGGCATCTTTACTTTGCAAAGAATCAGTTGAGTCGCCCTTATATTCATACGTGTGCTTAAGGACATTTAGTGCAAACACCTGATAATCAAGCTCACCTTTCTCCCTCTTAGTTCTCACTACTTTCTCTAATAATTAATTCTTTTCTAGAACTTTAAATGCAATTACAAAACATAGCTTTTTTAATCTAGAGTCTTGGCAAGCTGGTTTTGAAGCGCTTTTGGAAAATGTGGATTTCGGCAAAATTCATGCCAATATCTCATTTTTGTGAAGAAGAACTGCTCGTATACTTAATTTTTATACTAGTAATTGACCTGCGAAGCAACTCAGAGGAACTTTTCTGCCATAAACTTAACATTCATTTGTCTTCTGTTGTACAGCGCTTCGAGTAGTGTTCTAACAGCCTTTTGAAATATTATCAACCAATCCATAACAGAAATGATTCCATTAGTAACGTTTGAGTATTAATCAATATTAATTCGTTCTTAGAATCGGCCTAACTTTCACTATTTATCTTGATTATTTTTTGCTTTCAGTTTAACAGCCTCCACTAGTGCATATATAATTGATTCGTTCAGACAGAGGGTAAGCGTGTATCCAGAGCGTTTAAGAGTCTTCTAAGGAAAGCCGACTAATAGCTAACGGCGTCAAGAGAGTGAGTGAGAGAGAATTATCCCTGCCCACCCCCCCATCTACCCAGCCCACCCACCCACCCACCAACACCTCCTCCTCATCCACATATCCACACTCGATTCATCCCCATATCCCCCTGGTGCCACATTCTAATCCGAAATGAGTGGGGGTGAGAGCTGGCATTGATGAGTTTTATGCGCTGCAAACTTACTGCTTTGCCTTCTGAAGAATCTCCTCCAACCAGGCTTTGGTTTGACCACGCAGTTGGCTAAAAATCCCCTTTTCCACGGGTGAGAGGGATAACCAGGCGAGATTTTCAGCCAGGGAGCTGCAAAAGGCAGAGAACAGAGCAGGTTGAGAACTGGGGATAGAAGTGTTTTTCCACATGACAAACGATGTGGGCAATTTGTAGCCTTAAAAAATAAAGCTCCGAAAATTCGTTTTTGGTCAAATGTGGATCGGTTACAATTTTTAAACAAAAACTAATTAGAAAGAGATTATAAAGGATTGCCAAAAGCGAAGGACCAACTTTATTTGCCATTAAATACCCATAAGAGTTTAAAGCCTATTTTAGAGGGGAGATTTTGTTCGCCTCTGTGGAGGGTAAATGCATCCAGTGTAGCTTTGCTAAATTTCCTGAAGAAACATGTTCGCGGAGAATGAAGTAAAAATAGAGGACTAAAAATAGCGAATAGGAGCAATTAATTATTCAGACCGAATAGAGAAAGGCCTGAAGGACTGATTAAGATTTAGAAAAAAATAAATTAAATTGTGATCATGTAAGGAGAGAGGAAATGAGAACTACGAACTTCATAAAGTGTATTTTATTTTAAAAATTGTAAGTGATGGATTGAATTTGTATATGCACTTCCACAGCATGGATAAAAAGTTACTCAGCATAAGAATATGCGGATATTCAAAGATGCCGAATTATGGTTAGTCAGAGCAGTGAAATGACGGCTTATCATCAATGAAGAACTTGCCTATATTAGAGTAAATTCTACCAAGAATTGTTATGCAAAACTCCGGAATGCCAGATTTATTAAGGTATATAAGAAAGCGCATGGGACTGGGTGAGCAGATTTTGAACTTTGAATTATTCGGTTCTTCTCGAATCCAAGTTGAGTAGATTTGACTGAGTGGGGTATGGTTGGAATAGACTCTCATCTTTTCACCTCTTGAATAGAGCAAATTACAGCCAACCACGAAAATCAATCAGGCGGTCAACAAGGCGGAAATTTAACGAACTTCATCTCACAGCGGAACCAAGAAAAGAAGTTGAATAATTAAATTTGGCGTTGGATGACGAAAAAAAGTTTTATCCAGAAAAATAATTACATAAACAGTCTAAATTAAATGGTCTTTGCCTTGCAATTATTAGCGTAAATAGGGCAAATTAGCTTCATCCAGTTTGAATATTGTGTTCTCAGATCAGCAAATTAAAGAAAGCCACATTCTCCATAAGAATATGAGCAACTAGACCCCTTCAGAATAGTTATCAATAAATCAATTATTAGAATGTGTATTTTAAGTTGTCCTAAGTAATCTTGTTTGCGTACAACAGATCTTAATAAGTGAGCATACATCGTGTTTTAATGACTTCAAATTCGCTTGAAGTGAAAATGGCAATAAGAATGTCCCTCCTTCCTCACTCTCTCTCCCCCCCCCCTCCTCTAGACGTGGGACGCTCCCACGAAACACAATCGTTCTCAGTTTCCTAAGTACCCAGGAAGCTATAAATGGAAACTAGAATGATTTTTATCGCCTTGCCGATTATTTATGCAGCTAAATCGATGGGGAGTTGATAAACACAAGCAAACATCGAATGTCATTTTAACAGATTCCATCAAAGCGGCTAAACATCAGGCTTGAACGAAAAAATGGCAACACAGTGCGAACTAAGGTACGTGAAACTAGTTTGATCTAATGTTACGAAATGAAGATTGAAATATGAGTAGACGAAATTGTCATATAAATAGGTACTGCAGAAGAAGGCAAAGCAGGTTTAAGGGGGAGGGGGGAACAGTTAATGATATCATGGCAAGATCGTTTATGGGAGTATATTTTAGGGCTCAATAATGTTTTTCTGCGTAGACTTGGCGTTCAAGTATTACATGATTTAGAGGATATGAATGAAAAAGTAGGTTCAATTATGATGCATTGTTTTCAAAACCTTATCATAGATAGGAAGCTATTGAGGATGGAAAGCATCAAAATAAGAAAGGAGAAACTAACACAAATCGTAAATTGTGTAGTGTGAGCAACAAAGAGTCCATTCGTCTTAAGGTCTTTACATGGAGCATTTCGATGAGAGGCACAGTGGGCCGAGATGTATGTGAGCAGGTTCCCAATTCAAGTGAACAGATTAATAAATTCTAAAAATTATTGATACGACTTAGATGCAGAAGTTAAGCCTCAACATTGTTACCCAGAAGTTATTTTAGGAGTATTTACTTGATTAAACGTACTTGTAGGCTCGAATGGGCTCACGGGCGATTTCTTCCATCTGCGCTCGCCATTCATCCACTTCAATCGTCTCCAGTTGGCTCTCCAAAATCGCGCAGACATCAGCTAGCCGAGCCTTCGGAAAAATAAAATGTGCAAGGTAGTTAGCGTGATTTACAAACGGGAGTAGGCTTTATGGTACAAACGGGAATCACGATGGTGATAAATTGGTTAAAAATTGGTTCAACAGGTTGACGCTACTTCAAGAAGTAATGCATATCTATTATTCTTCTTTATGGTGCCCACGATCAATGCTTCAAACTATTTGAAGATACTTGTAAATGCACTCCTCCTATGCGCAATTCAATTGAGTTTTAGGCATTAGAAAGGACCTGCATATTCCAAATAGGATTTATATATAAAAATAGAATAAATTTATTTGGAAAGCAGTAAATGGACATTCAGTTTCCTTGCCAAACATGTTCTAATATAGTTAAATGGCATTAAATCATATAAATATGTGATGGGAATTGACCAGTTGGTTTGTAAATTTTAATCACACCAGGGTTAACTTAGTTACAAGTTATTCCATTTCATTAATACTATAAAATTTCACTTTCAGATGAAAAGTAAAACTTGGCAATTAATTCTTAACCCTAACTCCAATATTTATAACCAGGTCGACACTATGATCAGATTTGCCGAGTGGAGTCAATAGCAGCTTAATACGGGGCAAAGTTAAATTAGCAAATTCACCATGATTACCGCTTTCTCATGTCCTTCATATAAATTAAGGGTATTCTTCTACAATTCGGCACTTCAACAAAGCTTACCGTGCCCTGCTTTCATTGAACAGTTGCAATGTGTCTTCCTGTTGCATCTCTTCTTTCTCACCTAGAATTTTATTCACTTAAAGAAGCATTGTTCTTCAGCTTAGCTACAAGATTGCTGCCTTCTATAAGCACAACCAAATTAATTAGGCAATTCAAACCTTAAATATCGTAAATATCCCATAGGTTTAATTGAGCTGGTCTCTCGAATGTGGTCGGGAGAATTTGATGGACAATCAACTGGAGCCCTTCTCATGAGTCTTAGATAGAGCACTACTTCTAAATTAGTCTTCTCAGTGGCGCAGTGGTAGCAAGCACATCTGGAAAGTCAGAAACCACGTGCTCAACATTTGTCGGTGAGAGGATGTACGAAATGAAGGAACAAGAGTTATGAATAAGGTTGACTCCCATCAAATTCAACAACAACCAAAGTAAGCGTTGGTAATTTTTCCCTTGGAAGACTTCAAATGTGAATTTCTTTATCATTTTTAACATTTTAAAGAATTTCCATATTGGGCAAAATCTTTATTTGAAGAATTTCACCAGCACAGAAATTTCAACAAGGACCACTGGTTTAGAGATGGTAAACAAGGTTAATGAAAGTTATTTACAATCACGCATGAATGCTCTGCTTTCTCAGCCTTGGGAAGAAAACAATGAATTGAAATGACAACGTTTGTCAATCGGCTAATGAGCAGAGAACATCGCAATCGATAATTCGCTCAGAAGCCAAGACGAATAATCTTCGGATTTGAAGTGGGAAGAATAAACGACTCACTGAGTAAATGTTGCGCAAATCAGATTCTGCTAACTAGGTAAAGTAACACCCCTTGATAAACTAAATTTACTCTAAACATCTTATCGATCGTCACCTCTTTACTGCCAATTAAACTTTCTCTTCATCTATGTCATCTGCATCCGCACAACCAAAAAGTTTAAATTGTGTCTGCATAGCTGATGCTTATGACAATAATAATAATAATAATAAGTCCTCTGCCTAAAGAATGGGTTCATCAACTGTGAGAGGTGACGAGGGCAAAATTGCAGATGAAATATTCAGCAGGCTTAAAGTCGGTGGGAGAGTTAAATTTAAGACACAGGTGCTATCTAATGTAGGATGGCCATAAACAATTTAACAGCCGAGAGGTAAGTTCTACACAGTGCATGGTAAAACTAGGTAAAATAAACTGGAGTAAATCGATACCACAGAAGGTGAGGAAAGTGGACAAGGAATAGTGTTGGTGTAAACTAATTCTTCCAATGATAAATTGGGAAGAATGACGTTAAAAGTATTAGTAATATTGCTCTAAATCACCAAGCAAATTGCATATTTTGTCAATAATCTGCATGCTCACCATCCTTTCAGCTTTCCTCCTAGCTAAACACTAATTTCACTGATCGATTTGACCTTAAGTAGTTAGTATTGTCAGTATTGTGGGACTCAAAGTAAACCTGCTTAGAGTATAACGCGGCCTGTCTGCAAGAAATCTCATCTGCAACTGTTACTTTTCCCTTCAAATTAGACTTTAACTCTCACCTCCTAAACGAATTTGAACAAGTAAATATGGGCGTGAGTTGAAACCCTAAGATCATCACTACGAAATGGAGGCTCAACCTTTCAGCTTGGATTCAGCTATCGTACAGTTAAGAAAAGAATTTTCTCACATTTAATAAACTCTTTCTTTAACCCAAAAATTGTGAAATTACTTTTTTTCCGAACGAGCTTCTTAAGTCTTTAGGTATGTGGAAATTCCAATAGCACGATAGTAGAGTCGGATGAAATACTTTCTACAACATGGGTGTTGAACATAATGGCTTGGGCACTATGTAAGGCAGGCATTAAGGTGATAAAGTCGGTGGTAAAACCCAGACAGACTTGTATATTTAGACCACTAGACCGGCAAATAATCTCCCGTCAGGTAGCTAGGCACATATACAAGAAAATCTGCAACTATTAATTCTTTAAGAAAAGGCGTCTGCAATCCCACGAGAAATTTTCAGAAGGAGTCATAAAGGCCTCACGTAGAGCAGCTACTTCGGCCAAATATTATTATTCCATTAAGAGATGAGTAGGCAACGGAGGATTAATTGACGGAGTGATGGGAAAACATGAATATAGGCTAACGGAGATGTGAGATGCAGATAAGTTAATCGCCTAATAGGAGGGAGCGATTAAGTGACACAAGTGACGCAAGTCCCTCATAATCACAGCGCATAATTTCCACCCTCGATCAGATACATGAAGCAAATATACATCGGATAACGGTAGAAACTTTTGAGCACAAAGGTGGAGTATGGCGAATGTATAAAAAAAAACTATTTCATGATGGCTCCAGGAAATTGAGCAAAACTTGTTGAAAGCTTTACCCTAAAATATTTGAATTAGTAATCAAATTAACTTGAGCCTTTTGCCAACTCAACGTTAATCAGGACCGATTATCAATTAGCGATGAGTCCAATCAAATAAAATTGCAGTTTCTTAACGAAAGACAGGGATTAGACAGAAGAATCCCCAGAGGCAGGTGAAACACGACGTTAAGCGTCAAAAAGCACCAAATCTCTGATAGCTGCTTTCACTGAGATATGAGCGAAAAGTGAAAACTGGAGAAGTGGGAATCTCAGGGAGTATAAAATCAGGAAGAAGGGAGAGAGTGAGAAGTATAAAATCCCAAGGGAACAGTGAAAGAGATATGTTCGCTAAATATTTGCACTCTGCACGATAAATCAATTAAATAAAACCATTATAGATATTTTAGTACCTTATAATAATGTCCATTGTTAAATAGATTAAAATTAGTAACTCTAGTAAAAATGAATATAAGAAATGGAAAATAATTTTTAATACTTTAAACTAAGGATTTCTAATTAGGCCTTAACATTTCCAATACATCTATCACCTAAGAATTATCGAGAATGTGGAAAATTTGAATTAATGCTTATATGCTTACCTGCTTACCACTGCCATAGTAGAGCCATGGCATGGAGTTCGAGTTCGCCGTTTTCGAAAAGGCTTCCGAATTCTATGATACAGAAAGTCTCCAATCGATTACTAAGAGTCACAGAACAAAGCACCTTCACGAAGCTACTGTTGACGCAAATCAATAAGGTTGGGCAGTAAGTTCACCCAAACTACCATGGGTAAAATAGGCAGGAAAATCGGCTCTCACCTCTAAAGATGTAGCGGCCCATTTCAATAGAAATTGAGGCAGCACAGTGAAACAATGGTGCAAATGCTTTTAGGAAAGAAAGCAAAATGCATGTACACCCTTCTAATGGCGTGAAGATGAAAACAACTTCAAGTGCCCGATTTCTGGACACCTAACAAACTATTTCACCACTTGAGTGCTTATAGCTAAGACAACAACGTGTAATATATATAATAGCCATTGTAGGCACTTATTCAGGAATAAATCAAATGGAATTATAAATGTAGTCAATTAAGCGTTTATTGTGCGATTCCCTCAAATGAAACCACCTCAGATGTAGGCCTACCCCGTAGCAATAGCAGTAGCCACCAATGTTATTGCTTCAATTAACGAATTCGTTAGCTTTTACACTCGACTTAGAAGCCATCGCTTGCTTTCGGGGTCATAAAAAATTGAAAAGGTGATTGTAATATTGACAAGATTTTATTTACTTGATTGCATCGTATTAGAAAGGATTAACTATAGCAATGAAATTCACTTCACTAGTATGTCATTTTCAGAGCAAGAAATCCCAAAATGTCAACTCTGCGAGATGTACTTGCCTAGTCTTTCTCTCCCCCCCCCCCCTCGCCTACCCTTTATTGACAGGTATGTGTGGAAATGTAGAAAATGGTAGAGGAAACGATTTGCGTCGAATCTTAATGATATACTTGCAATTGTTACACTCCTTTTCAAATTTGAGCATTCGGATGCCGAATTTAGCCAAATGGGAGCATATTTGGAGCAGAGGTTAGTTGTGTGTTGTTGCTGGATTCTCATGACCGCAAATGAATGTATCACTCTCGTGATAGTTCAGCTTATGTTGAATAGGGGAAATAAATAAAAGTTTTGATCAATCACGAACCACCCGCTCTCAATTATGCAGGTAGTTAAGCCCACAAGTTAATGCCGGTTACTAAGACAAGTGGAATTTGGAATTTGTGCAGGAGGCCTGCCAAAATGACATTCTTCTGTTTATTTCAGGTACGATTGATATGCTATTTCATTATATTAGCGTTCCCTATAATAGACCCTTTTATGTGAAATTGTGTTACCAGTACCAATTGCCTGCTTTAGCAGAAATAAGAGGCAAATTAGTCAAGAGGCTATGTTAAATAGTCAACATATTGTGAATATTGCGTACTTAATATCATTCACGAACGTGGGAGACAAGTGATGGTATTTTGAACGTCAGAAACTGTGAGGGACATCAAAAACAAATTTCGACTCTTTATATTCTTTCTCCATTACTGACTGTTGAACCCATTTGCCTTCTTCCTTGTTTAAATACTTTCGGTTGTTGTGGGCAATAAAAATCATATTCTAATACCTTTACTAATTATGTTACATTATGAGACTTTGAATAACTTCTTATTCGCTTAATTAATGTCTAATCAACACTAAACATCGTCCTTAATAATTGGTCCTGGATGAAATTGCTAACACAGCATAATGTCATACACAACACTTTAAAAACGGCAAAATAAAAATGAGCTGGCATAAAATTTTAATCGAAAAAATCTAACTGCTGGAGGATGGTCAGAAAAAAAGGCATGAAAATGATCTATTTACGCAATTTGATGAAACGCCTTCAAATGGAACATAAAAATCTGTTATAAATTTGCCGAGAATTCGTGATTGCACTAATTATTATTAAGCGAACAATGTATTGTAAACCTTGATATTACCTTGTAAAAATGCATAGGAGAGAGTCCGGGTCCAGCGCGGCGTTTTAAAATGCAGTTATCGTTTGCTGGAATGCGAAGATACGGCCTGAGACAGAGATGAAATACCGTGGTATCCCAGATTGACCTCAAACACCATCGAAGAACACCAAATACACTCCAAAGTAGAGCCACGATGGGATAGAGGACAAGACCACATAAAAGAGCTGTGATGAACTGTAGAACACATCGTATCCCTAGATGCCATACGAAGACCTCAACAATTGGGAGAACACCGTTTGCATGAACAGCTAAGGATTAAAATAAGAGGCGAGGAGGTGAGAAAACACTTTAGGCTATCAATGACTCACGCATGGCCAAAAACCAATGATAAAACCTCTGTAAGTGACTCACCTCCCAGTCCACTTTACCTAATGGATTGAAATTAAAAAGGCCACGCAAGGTGTCTACCCAATAACCAACAAATCGAAACAAAAGGCATGAATACAACATGCGGGTAGAAAGCTAAAAAATTTAATTAAGAGCATAAGCCCTATATGCAGTAGGTATTCAACTTAGCAAGTGCCAATCAAATAACGATAAGAAAATATAGCAGGTAGAAAATACAGATAAAATTTAATCGACGTATGGAAAATAGAAAACAGTGGCTGCATTGAGTATCGCAGTGTCCTTATTCAATTTACCTGTTTTGACTATTTCATGATTTATTTCCAAAAATAATGTCGCATGCGGAGCAGTAAGAGAGGCAACGGGGCATTCACAGTCGATCTATTTCTTACCCCTCCTTCGTCTCCTGCTTCCCCATACATTTTGTTGTCAATCTATTGTGTCGACTTGCACTCTTAAAGATAGCAACTTTTGACGGCAAGGCACAACTATATCCAAATGGGATTCATTGAAAGGTAAATGATTTTATTCATAAATATAATTCTCTAAATCAACCACGCTCTGAAATAAGTAAAATACGGACATATATCAGTGGTAGTGGACTTATGTGTGGAAGAAGTAACAGCTCAGGAGATAGCAATATGAAAATTGGTAACTCAGATCCACGTATTTCACTACCCCATAATAGGCAAGAGACAGAGACTGCAGACTTAAGAGTGGAATACTGGAATTTTAGTTCGACAGATGGGAGGAGTTCGATAAACCGCCTAAAAGTCGAAGGATAAAACAAACACAGATGAAAATTTACCGCCAAAACATAACAAGTTTGAGGGAAATTTAAAGTTAGGCTTTCGTGAACACTTCTTGCAAAAATCGTCTTTGCAGTTACTTTGAAGTACCTCTATTAGAAGTCTGAATTGAAGGTACTTCTTCTTCACCACCAATCACTCAACCAATTCACCACCAGAATTGCAATAATTTATACCCCTTCACTCTTCCAATGAACTATCACGCGTAACCCTCCTTATTGATTGCATTACGCAAGCACGAATACTTGGATAACTCCTCTTTGAAAGCAAAAATAATTAATTAATTAACAACGCGTAGTGAAGGGATGTGAACTTTGGAAATGGAATTTAAAATAATGCTGAGAAGCAGTAGTAGGTAAATAATCCATTTTAACGATTCTGTAAATGAATGCAGATACGAGATTGAAAAGTAGTAGTTAGCTTTAATTTTTCTTCAACCAGACGTATTCTCGTACACATATAAAATTTTATTTTTAAGCTATACTTTTACATATTTAAAATACAAATTCAATGTTCTTAGTTAAGAAAGACAGAGACTAGCCATATTTTAACAGTAAATGACCAATTGATAAAGGAATTATTGCTAATTTAATTCCACCGTGTTTACTCCCTATTTGATTAAACAAGAGTTGTTATTATTATTGCTTTCCATACAAGAGCCTATTGACAGAAACTGGAAATGACACAAAAATGGTTATGTGATTGGAGGAGGAAAAACGGAAATACCTTTTCACAAAAGTTGGCGTTTATGCTAAATGAAGTAGACAATACGACAGGTTTTCTCATCACTCAAACCCCTCCCCTCCCCCCCCCCTCCATATCTATGATTTCATGTGCAGGGGATGCCATCCAGCAAAGGGTTGGTAGCTTTTCAATTCTAATTTCGCTAGTTTTCAGTTAGTCTAGAGGAGTAAATGTTAGTATAGCATAGTATAACAGCTTGGGTACCAAGAACACGGAGTTAAAGAGTTAGTCGTTATAGATGGTCGTTGATGGATCAGTTGCTCTAAATTGGCATAACGTCGAGCAGATCGCAACGGGGTTAAGAAAGGCGTATAAAGAAGCCTGGCTTTGTTGATAAGCACTCCTTCCACCTCACTAAGTAAGCGAATAATGCTTTAGTCTGCTCATTTATGCCGACGGTATATCGGATTTGTTAATAAATGACACCAGAATGTTTCAAAAAAATACAACCGGAGAGAGAAAATACGTTGTTATTGCATATAAAAACCATAACAATTCTAGTTTTCTTTTGTGAATATATTACTGTGCTCATAAACGTTTTGATAAGCACCTTTGTATAAGACCTTGCCAAGTGGTCTGTCCTGAGCTCACAGATTCAGCGATAGATTACTGAGCAAATTGAGAAACAAAATGAAAAGTGACGGCGCAGTCAGTTGTCACATGAGCAAAGGATAGGTAATATTTATTATCCTCAAATTGAACAACGGAAATGTGTTCCCGTCAAGCAAATAAACTGAAGATTCTTTCTTCTACTGGAAAAAGTGTTATTATTGCTGTTTTCCTTAAATAATAATAACACGATTTCGTAAACAGAAAGTGTCACTTTGACATGCGTCTGAGATTAAGAACAATAAAAGTGAAAGGAGGCTAACAAACGTGTTTTGCAACATTGAAAATATCTCTCCGTATCGCCATGCTCCTGCGCATTCAAGCTCCAAGTCATGTGGTCTATTGAAGTATATTCTGCAAACAAATACCATAAGCTTTAGGGTAATAAGACAATAAATATCTACTTGTCTAATGTTTGACGTTTCGAGCATCTTAAATTTAGCTTTGGAAATTAATATATCTATTCGCAAACGATTACCTGTCGATCGATTAAACTAACTTCGCTTAGCAATCAAACAGACTCCCCACCTCCATAGATGGACTCATTGCAATGAACAAACCGTGTGTGTATACAAAAAAAACAGAGATTCGATAGGTAATATGCACTGCACTTTAACAAATTATAAAACTTTGAGCTTCTTCAAGTACATATCACTTCTGTGGGCTCACTCTATGCGAGCGGACATCGGGTTTTCATCACTTTAATAATCGACACCAGTTTTTTCACCAACAAAGAACCACTCAATGAATTAATCATCGTCACAGCGTAAAAGTTCAATACCACAATATAAAAACCTCAACAAAGGAGAGGAATTGATCGGATAAAGATTGATCGATGGTATAACCTAACTAAAGGGGTTGCCTTCAATCGGAACCTTTACTGAATCAAAAATTAGACAATCACTAATCACGAGGAAATGCGATCTTCTCACTTCAGAAAATTCAAATGAGATGCAGTGTGGAAAATATTTCACTTAGGCGAATTTCAGAAAATCGAGTGTTATTGAACTGATTGAAGGAATGATTTGCTCTTATTAAGACGTGAAATCTGACAATGAGATAGATAGCTTTTAACATTATGTTTGAGGAGTGAGGGGAAGGCAAACTAAGAAGGCCTAGTTCTTGAAAATTAAATATTTCCCAAAATTAAAGTTTTACTGGTGTCGCCATACTTTCTAACATTGTGTTGTGGCGTCAAAATCACAAGGAAAACGGCAATGAATATCCGTTTGAATGACCCAGAGATCGCTTTCATAGTTTATTTCATAGACAATTTCTACATATGCATATGCATATCACAAAATGACACCGTTCCGATTTTCCAAAATGAGCAACTTAGGTCTTCGTGATATTTTGATATTGTCAAGAGTTATCAATGCTCAATCCACTCAAGAACCCATCTATCAACATTCCTATGGAATAGAGAGACAACATTAGGCAAACCGATGATGAGATTAGCCATTCCCCTACGGTCATCAAAACAACAGTTCCCAAAATTCAAAGACAAACAGAGGGTGACAAATTCAATAACCGTTAGTACTAACGTCTTAGAAAGTGAATGTTTCAAGATGAAATAAGCAAGGGACGTACCAGGTTTATAGAAGTCATAGAGCAGTACGCAGAAGAGATGGAACACGAGACTGAGAAGGGGAATCAGAGGCAGTGCCGCGAGGCCGAAGGCAATTGAGAGGGTGGAGAGAAGGAGACAGAGGGGAGGCATTAGTAAAATAAGAAGCAGGGAGAGGAAAGAGGCACTAAAGAAGATACAAGAACGACGGAAATTCGATCCTCCCCGAGAATTCGCGGCTGCACGAGCTGATTTCCACAACCGCGATAACCGGCTGTGCAGAGTTTGGCACTTCTTTTCGTTCGTGTAGTAGAGGTAGCCCTAGAACATGGAAAAATGGGTAGAGGGAAGATTTCAATTGACCATAAGGAAAATCTGTGAAGTCGTGGGAGCTTGATAAATAATACGAGATTGTCTCTGCGTTCTTCTTCATAATACCCATTAAGTGCTTCTAACATGCGTACTAATATATTAAAGAACAATCATTTGATGGAATCTTTTTCAAACAATGGATATTTCCCATTTAAGTTGGTGTTGGAACCTGACATTCCACTATTTATCATAAGGACAAATCAAATCATCGCAAATGCGCTATTGAGCGTTGATCCTGTGACTTGCGACTTTGAAGCCATTGTCGGGCACGATTGACAACCATTAAGAAGCCAAGCCCAACATTTATGTGGCGTTCGATCACTCGTACATTCATCCCCCCCCCCCTCACCTCATCGATTGTTAGCTTCTACCTTTAGACAAAAATATGTGGACCACCAATAATGAATATATCGCTGCCAATATTTGTAAACCAATCGGGCAATCACTTATTCCATATCCATATGATATGAGTTCTTTCTAGAGGGCAAATATTTGTATCTCCATAAAGCGGGCAATAGAGCAAGCCATAAGAGGAGTGAAGTGTTTTTGCTTCTTGAAATACTGCATGAAATTTCATTAATTCGTCACCACGGGGTGTGCGATAGACTTACCTCCATGTGGTGCATCCTGGGCAACGTATATTCATACGGCAAAAAAGTCTATTGACTGGCAGTTGACTTCTCACTTCAAACTACTATCACTTCACTCTACGCCATATTCGACTACTTCCACAGTACTCACCTCACCTTTGTTCTACCTTTGTGTCTGTCTTTTTCACATCTTTGAAACACTCTTCTGTCCCCCTCTCGACTTTTTTCACTTTGATGTTCCTCCTCCCTTCTGTGAAGCCTGAAGTCAACTAAATGGCTGATGATAACCAACAAGACGCCTGCCATTTGATATAAATAAATTAATTTAAATATACGACTTCTAGAAAAAAGGATTAAATCCACTTGTATATGATTATGCTTAGCTTACTAGGTCCTTTTCCTCACATTTTACATCTTCTAATACATAAATTTATAGGGCTAATGATAAATATCATAAAGCCTGCCATTTTAAATAAATAAAATACATAAATTTATTAGTCAAAGATGAAATCTCTTTTTTGAAGCAAGTGGCGTTAACATTCTAGAGTGCTTCAAGACACTGAAATTGCCAGTGAAATTAAAAAAAAAATTTGAAGAGGAAAAAAAGTTCTTTTACTTCACAATTTCTTTCAACCGTATTTAATTGGACGCTGCCTTCTAGTTCGGCACCAATTGTATTAAATCAACATTTCGCATTCACAGCGTCACTTCCCCTCTTCACCGCTAGTACC